TATATATATGTTAAATTTTTTCCAGCATGGTAAGACATTTTGGAGTGTATTATTTGTGGCAAAACGGGAGTTAAATAACTAGTGTGTATATGTATATTAAAATCTTTTCAGCGTGTTAATCTATTTTGGGCAATTTATTTAGGGCTGGATACTTTGAACCAAAGTTATAAAACCCCACATGTTTAAGGTAATTATGAATTGAATGGTTTAACTTAAGTTAATTTAAATTAATTAAAATAATATTCTTTTACATTTTTTTTTAAATTGAATTAGATTTTCACCAACTTTAATAACAGTGCTCGAAACTTGAGAAAGTGGCTCGAAAGGTTTGGTTGTGGGAATTGTTGGCTGCGGTACTTGGTGTTGTTTTGTTACATTTTTTTTTATGTATATGGAGAAAGAGGAGGGAGTAGAGATGATAATTTTAACGTGAATGATTTTAACTGGAATGATATATATATTACATAACAAGTAATAAATAAATTACAAATATTATCAAACTTATCTAATAAATATATAATTTTTTAATCTAATATAATATTTATGTAATCTGATATAATATTAAAAAAAAACATATTTACATGCCCTTGTCTCACTGTCATTCTTTTGTTATTAAATAACCAAACAAAGCCCGGTTTCTCTCCTATACACAACTCTCTGGGAATTAAATCTGCTTCAGAGGTGGTAATAGAGCTCATGTTTCTTCTCTTATTGCTGTGATAATAAACACATAGATGCCCTTCGTATATGCACAATGATTTTGCGTTTTCATTATAATTTATTGCTTTCCTGATTCTTCTGCAAGTTAACATCCACATGAACAAGGGGAAGATGGAGTCTCCTGTTGGAAAATATATAAACTTGCAATTTGACATGTCTAGCTTGCATCTAGTTAGTGTGATGAATACTTTATTTGTTCCGAGACAATAACCAAACGTTATTCTAATTCCGATCGATATCCGAAGACGGTGTATGAACGATGACAATGTAAAGATTCGAAGAGCTAGGGTGGTTCTTCCTCCATGTCCATTTCCAGTCTTCTAGTTGCAAGTTGCAATAAACAGAATGGATGATGGAGATATCGATTCTACTGTCTAATTTAGTGTATTCATTGGAAAAATTATCAAATAGAAAGTGGGAAATTCGTTGGGAACATAGCATGGTGTGTCATGTATCATGCTTTTCTTTCTTTTTCTGCCCCCACATAACTGTGCCCTCCCTCTTACGTGACAAAACAGATTTTCTTTGATGACAAGTTTAGCAGAGAAAAAAGAGAATTAACACCGAAATTACAGTAGAAGGGAGCCAAGAAAAATTATTAAGATGCATTGTCGCCTTTTTTTTTAATCTGGAAGGACATCAACGCATATATGTCAGGGACAAAACTTAGAATCTTTTCGAGGATAGCCATGATTATGCACAGAGATGCACGTACAAGCTACTATATGTGATACCAATGTCAAGGCCAGAAGTTAGAATCTTTTCGAGGTTAGCCATGGTTATGAACAGAGATGTACAAGCTACTGAGATTCGAACTCTTGATTTCATAAATCAACGCTCTAGGAGGTGCTCATTTACTGCTACACCAACCCCTTGTTAGCGTGTTAGGATTTATTTTCTGACAATTTTACCTCATTAGACCAGGATTTCCATATTTGGAAATCTCTATCGGAGACAAATATTTAGCTAACTTGCGACGAAGACCCTAGTTTTTTATGCAAAAAGCTGGTGGTTGTTAAGGTTTTTTATGCAATGAAAAAGGCAAAAGGTTCCCGTATAGTGGAGGTTACCAAGTTGGGGAACTCAGTAAGATGTTTTGCATTGAGAGTGCTGGCTGGCAAAAATTTATGGTAAACACTAGAGGGTAGCTCCTTACTCCAACAGGAAACTGGCTGCTTCTGTTTCCCTAGTTAAAATCTAATGACTATTTCCCTATTCTGTGATAAAACCCTCTTTTAAAACCTGAATAACCTCGTGAAGACTGTCGTCCAGTCTGCTATGTATTATTAATTCAGACAGAAGGGTTACTTTCAGGCTGACAAGAATTCACTACCCTTCTCCATTGTAATCACATATTGTGAACCTCTTCTCTTTAGCTTATTTCTTTCAGTTTCTTTCTTCTTTGCCATTGGTTGTAAGGTTTGTTCTCTAACATGTGTTGAAGTCATTAAACTAGTTTGTCCATGGTTTGTGGGCAAAGTCTTTCTTTTAATTTGAATATTTCATGTCTTTGTTTTAGGCTTGCAATGAGCTTGGTTGTTGTTGAAGGTTTTTGTGCTTGCTTCGCTTGGTTTCTGTTATTTAACTAATTTCTTGAAATCAGTATTTTTCATAAGAATCTTGAAAGCACACTTTGAGGTTTTGCTTTCAGCCTTTTCCTTCTTTTTAATCGCTTGTTCTTCACAAACTAGTTTGGAATTGCGGATACTGTTGAGCTGTTAATGTAGACGAACCTGGTTCATTTCTTTTCTCCTCATTGTAATCTACTCTTCTTTTAGCTAATTTTTGGTTAACAATCTTTTGATTGCATTGAAAGGAAGAATGATACTCGTCATTTTAGAGGCTTGTAAGATAGAGGCCTGTAAAATAGAGGTCACCTTCTCATAAACAAGTTCTTTTCATACCCAAACTAAGTCTACAGGTTGACACTCAGAATTTATTAAAATAAAATTTTCTCTACAATTTAACTATAATATTAGAGTTTGCGAAACCTTAAATTTTCAATAGAACTCAATAAATTGGGAACTCATTGACTTCCCTTTCTAGAAACACCATTAAACCACAAATAGCTTGGCGTTTAACATAGCATGTGCTATAGCAGTATAAGGTGTTTAACATTCTGTGTTGCTGCTCAATTTTTGTTTAGGACTGTGAGATTTAAACTCTCAAGCTGTTTGATCTAGGAAAATGGACGTTGATGGGAGGGATGATCTTCAAGCACCTTTGCTTCAGCCTTCAGGGAGTTTTTTAATAGATATTCCCGAGGAGAAAACTCAGACAATCACATTCAAAATTGGGGGTATTAACTATGCATCTTGTCAAACATCCATAGAATCTGCACTCTTAAAGGTCAATGGAATCGAGAGTGTTTCAGTGTCATCGTATCAAGGCCAGGCTGCCGTCAAATATGTACCTGAATTCACCAGTGTAAATCAGCTCTATGTAGTATATATCGTGCATAAGTATGCGAGACTGATTTTACTACTAAATCTGCTTGAGTTTGCTATTTTTCACCATTAACAATATGGTCTTATTTTAGGCAATAAAAATTAAGGAATCGTTGAGGCGGAAGGTTTTTCAGTTAGTGAATTTCCAGAGCAAGATATTGCAGTATGCAGGCTTAGAATCAAAGGAATGACTTGCACTAGCTGCTCTAATT